AAAGTCAGGTTACAATATCAGGATGTCATTTTGCTGACAAACATTCGGTGATTACTTAATTGTTTACACTACAGAATAAGGATAATTTTTAAAATTTTCACCTTAGGGTAAATGCATGAGAGAGGAAGAGAGAGAAAGCGAGAGAGAGAGAGAGAGAGAGAGAGAATAGAGTAAAATATGCAGATTTACAGTGAAGTAATACACATAAATACTATCATGCTCCCCAACAGTATGCAATAATTAGTGCCTATTTAGTTTTATTTAGCTGGTAAGAAATAAGTAAATCCTCTATTTTCACAGAACTTCTTCTGGGAGTGCAAAAGTTATTTTTGTGAACAGCTAGATATGTGTATGTATGTGTTTCTTAATTTCTATATTAACATTAGGTGGGTGATTTTCCCCCTTCTTTGTGTGACTTTAGGTGTCTGCTATAACAATGTCTTCCAACTGGCCTATCAGTCTCTGGTGTGGCTACCCTGTCGCATCCAAATTCATGTTCTTCATCAAAGTCAGGTTACAATATCAGGATGTCATTTTGCTGACAAACATTCGGTGATTACTTAATTGTTTACACTACAGAATAAGGATAATTTTTAAAATTTTCACCTTAGGGTAAATGCATGAGAGAGGAAGAGAGAGAAAGCGAGAGAGAGAGAGAGAGAGAGAGAGAATACTCCCCAGTGGTGTGTGGTCATGCCACAATCTTTTTTCTTCCTATTTTCCAGCCATTCAGAATCCTGGGCACACATGTACACACCTGGCACCTTGCTGCCAGGACTGGGATTCAAACCCCAGTTGGCCATGTGAGATCTGGTTTCCTTCTACCTAGGCACGTAACCTCTACGCTAAGGGGCTAGTCCTACAGGACAAGGTCTCCATATGAAGGTCTCCATGATCCAGCCCTTGTCAGCATCCTCTCTGTTTCTCTCTCTCCCTCACTCTCCTTCCCCTCCCATCCCTTTTCTACTCATTCACTCACTCCCAGTTTGCCCACTCACGCAGAATCAGGCCATAATGAGTCGCTCCACTGAGGCTGCTCGGCTCTTTCAGATCACTGGGCCTTTGTTCCCTTTATTTATCTGCCTAAAATGCCTCTTCCTTTCCATAATAAATAAATTCATTATTCGTCTTTCAAAACTTAACCGGTGATGATCTTTTAATGATATATTTATCAGACATTTCTATGTGTTTGTCTCTAAGTTGTGTGTCTGATTGAATATATACTTGTACCATTACTTATTTAAAATTTATGTCACTTTATTTCTTCTAAGAGGGAGAGAGGAGGACTGAAAGAGAAAGAGAAAGGCACCCCCAACAGTATCTTCACACCACAATCCACCTGTCTCCTCTGGCTGGGATCACAGGCGTGAATGTGCATGCCTGTGTGCTCAGGGAGGTGCTGGGATGTGAACCCTGGACTTTTCTCATCAGTTCAGTTCATTACTTCTACCACCAGCACCTGGCCCTTGCTTTATTTTTTTAAAATCTTATCTCTAATAGCTTGTACCTGCAATAAAATTTAAGTAGGACTAGAGAATATTTCCTAAAAGAGTCACAAATTTTAAATGTGAAAAGTTGTGGTAAATCCAAAATCTGATTTTCTTCATCCACATGTGAGTCAGTGGGTCAAGGGCAGGGTTTTGCAGTCAGCAGACTGAATTTCACTATAATTCCAATTCTGTCACTCTCTAACTTGGAAATCCTGCTTGATTTGTCTAAACCATGCTGTCTTCTGAGAAATTAGAAAACGAAAAAATGTCATTTGTGAATTACATGAGATATTATACGAAAAGTACTTGGCAAACTTCCTGGCACCTAGTGATCCTTCAGTAAATTATCAGTAGAGAATATTCCGGACTGTTAAAACTAATCAAAACATAACCCTCCCAAATTCCTGTCCATTGTCTCCTCAGCAGTGAGGATCATGCCTGGAAGTGTCTCAAGTCTTTCTATCTTCGTATATGGCCACACCTCTCTTACTGGATAAGCCTCATGTCTGAGATCCTTTTTTGATTTCTCTCTCTCCCTGATCTGCCATGTCCAAATCATCATGTACTGTTAAAAATTCAACTTTTTTGTTTCCTTTTAAAGTTTTTGCAGGACTTTTTTTCTTTTCTCTCTTATTCATTTATTTTACATTTAATTATTATACATCTTAGTGTACAATATAGTTTTTTTTTTTTTTTTGAGAGGTTTTTGCTATAGGGTGTGTGCGCTCACCAGAAAGACAGAGAGAGACAGAGAGACAGAAAGCGAGAAATCACCTCTTCAGGGGGGATAATCACACCGCAATCCTTTCTCCATTCTCCTCTTGGGATCTTGAGCACTCATGCATACGTGTCCAGCTTGAATTTAAGCAACAGGTCTGGGACTCAAACTGCAGTCCACTACATGGGAGTTCAATGACATAGCCATTATGCTAACTGCTGGTCCCACAATACAGTTTTTTTTCAAACCATGCATGCATTACATGTCAATCAAGTCAAAGTTCTTACTGTATACATCATCCTCTACAGATAACCTTCTATTGGTGTGCCTGTTAAATACAAGGTGGATGAATATAGAGGGTTTAATGCTAAATGAAGCAAGCCAGGCTATGAAACATTTTGCCCCCCCCCCCTTTTTTTCTCTTTTTAGAGGCTTTTTCTATAGGGCATGTGTGATCGCCAGAGAGACAGAGAGACAGAAAGCGAGAAATCACCCCCCGGGGGGATGGCCACACTGCAATCTCTTCTCCTCCACTCTTCTCTCGGTATCTTGGGCACACACACACGCACCTGGCGAACCGCAGTTGACTACTTGGGAATCTAGTGACATAGCCATTAAGCCAATTGCTGGTTCCGAAAGATTTTGCTTCTAAAATATATCTTAAATCCACCATGTTCTTTTCCAAACCCATGGTATTCAAGGTCACTGTTACCTTTTCTGAATAGCCTCCAATTCATTTCACAACCCTCTCTCCTGCCCCTACAGAGTCCATTTTTTTAAATTTACTTCTTTAAAAAAAATTTTTTTTTATTTTTTATTATCATCATAATCTTCTTTATATTACATTGGATTACATATAACTTTACAGTGTATTACATTGCTTTTTCAAAAGGAAATGCCATGCATGTCAGTCAGTACAGAGACATTAATCTCCCCGCTTCAACATTCAATATCTTTTCTATGTTTTCCCCAATCATTATTATTATTATTCTAATTATTTTTTTACAGAGTCTATTTTGAAACACCAGAATTATCTTTCCATAACATAAATCACATCATGCCTCACTCACCTTTAATTCTTTGATTGCTTTCATTGCATTCAGATCCCTCGTGCTATCCTATGGGGCTTGCACATTATGGTCCTACCTGTCTTCCTCCTCTTCCCCACCCATCGCAGGACAGCAGTGGAAGGATCATTTCAGCTCTGCTACCTCTTACCTGAGCTCTTCAAAGGGCTGCTGTTCTGAAACCCTTCTCTGCCTACATGTCACCTCCTCAAAAGTCAGAAAGACCATCTCTAATCCCTAGTATCATTTTGTTTTTAAGTCATCATAGAAGATATCTCGAATTTTGTTATGCATTTTTGTCTTTAATTATTTAAAAAAATCTCCATCCAGAGACCAGCACTCCTACCCTAACTTAAAGCTCCCCAGAAATGAGGCCCAATGTTGTTTGCTGGCCCTTCTGCTTGGCTCATAGTATAGCCCCCTCTCCCCTGTTGACCTACACTTGTCCTTACTGTGCTGAAACAGTGAAGGGAGAGCCTGTTCATATCACTGTCACGGACGGGTCATATAAATTACATTTACAGGGCCTCATTTGGACTTTTCGTTATTTGATCTCTTCCCCTCTACTAATTTTTTGGAAGTATATATTGAATTGCCAATGCCATTTTTACTGTTCTGTGGTACACTGCCCCATAACCTAGTCTACTTCTTTACATGCATTTTTTTGTCTGTTAATCATTTTCTCCCGAATCTTCCTTTCACCTCCCCATAATGACATAAACTGAATAAATATTAATATTCACATTTACTTAAGAAAAAACTGGATATTCGAAAGGGCAAGATTTTGATATTATATAGCAAGTCAGTGACAGACCTGAGACTTGAATGAGGTCCAAGTCTTTAATCTGGACAGTCCAACATTCCCCTCTTCACCTTCTTCCCCCACCTCACGATCGTGACAGCTACTCTGTTTCCAGTGATAGTAGAAAAAAGAAAGGAATAGAGTGTACAAGATAAGCAACTTGTAAAAACTTCCAGAGCTCCGTCAGAAAGGCCTCGTGCCTTTGGAATTGACAGTGTAAGATGGACTACAGAAGTTTCATAGCTCCCTTTGGAGGTGTTCATGAAGGCAGTGCAGTATAGACAGGGCATGGGTTTTAGACGTCTTTCTTGCACTGCAGTGGGAACTTGATAAGTTACCAGGGGACTTCAAAAACTTCACAGAGAAATCAAATTAAAGTGCAAGTTTACTTTTGCACAAAAAAGGGTAAAATCCTTGCAGTTTTTTGTAATATACATTTTCTATGAGTTTGTTGAAGACCTTCCATTACTTAATACCTACCTGAAGCTCATTTTCTTCATTATTAAATATTAATATTATAAAATAACATATATGAAAAGAGCTAGAGAGACTACATGGGAATTAAATTATGCACAAAATGTACCAAGTTTATAGTTTAAAGCATAATATTTATAAAAGATTGACCTATTTAATTTTATTTATATTATTGATATTATTATTAAGTTTGCTATAGAACACATGCACTTATCAGAGAGAGACAGAAAGAGAGAGAGAAAGTAAGAAAGCAAGTCATCAGGTCTGGGATTTGAACAGCAGTCAACCATGTTGGGGTCCAGTGCCCCAACCACTAAGCCACCTGCTGGCTCCCCATAATACGTTATTAATAAATGAAAACTGTTGTTGTTGATAGTCAGAGTAGGCAAGGTTGAAAGTCTGACCAGGAATTCTTCTCCCCCAGGAGAGCCAAGCCTTGTGTCTCTAACATGGAAGTGGAGAACCAGACCCGGGTCTCCAAGTTCATCCTGGTGGGGTTCCCTGGGAATTTGAGCATGCGCACAGCAGTGTTCCTGACCTTCCTCGTGGCTTATATTCTGACAGTAGCTGAAAACGTGATCATCATCGTGTTGGTGCAGCAGAACCGGCCGCTGCACAAGCCTATGTACTTCTTCCTGGCCAACCTGTCCTTCTTGGAGACCTGGTACATCTCTGTCACTGTGCCCAAACTGCTGTTCAGTTTTTGGTCTGTGAGCAACAGCATCTCTTTCACTCACTGCATGATACAGCTGTACTTCTTCATCGCGCTCATGTGCACGGAATGTGTGCTCCTGGCTGCCATGGCCTATGACCGCTACGTCGCCATCTGCCGGCCACTTCACTACCCTACCATTATGAGCCATGGGCTCTGTTTCCGCCTGGCTCTTGGCTCCTGGGCCATTGGCTTTGGCATCTCTTTGGCAAAGATCTACTTTATCTCCCGGCTCAGCTTCTGTGGCCCGAATGTCATCAATCACTTCTTTTGTGACATCTCTCCAGTGCTGAATCTGTCCTGCACAGACATGTCCATAGCTGAGTTGGTAGACTTTGTTCTGGCACTGGTCATCTTCCTCTTCCCACTCTCCATCACTGTGTTGTCCTACGGGTGCATTCTGGCTACTGTTTTACGCATGCCCACGGGAAAGCAGAAAGCATTTTCCACTTGTGCCTCTCACCTCGTGGTAGTCACCATTTTCTATTCAGCCACTATTTTCATGTATGCCCGACCCCGGGCTATCCATGCCTTCAACATGAACAAGATTATTTCCATTTTCTATGCCATTGTCACCCCTGCTCTCAACCCTTTCATCTATTGCCTAAGGAACCGAGAGGTCAAAGAAGCTCTGAAGAAACTGGCCTATTGCCAGGCCGTAGGGTCTGATTAGTCTATTAAGATTGATTTAGAAAGAAAGGATTGATTGAGTGCCTGCTCTTCCTTTGTCCATCCTTTCTCCTTTTGTGCTTCTGCTGGACATGACCCATGTTAATAAGACACCACCACGTCCACAGTAATCACAGGTTCTTGGTCAACAGACCTGTACCCTTTATACAAAGAGCTAGGGAAAAGAAATGCTTGGTGATCCAAAATTCGAAGGCTGTGAGTAAATACATAACTGAATCATGTGAGAAGAAAAATGGCCATATACGAGTTAGCTGTTTTGGATTCTAGCAGGCATTATGAGCTCTGGAGCCAACAGATTTGGTGGTGGGTTCCTGACTTTCTGTCCTCCTGACACTAATGGAGGTCATGGCTCCTACAGTAACACTATTCTCAATGTGCTAGAGTTGTTTGTGGTAGCAGAGGCTAGAGACTGCTTCTCTAGTCCTCCCAACACAATTTTCAAGCACTGCTCACCTGCATTAAATCTCTCAGAAAGAGTGCTTTTCTTTATCTGTGAATAAACTTTATCTTTCCTTTTTTTGTGAGTAAACTTTATGAATAATTTACACAATTATATCTTGCCTTGTGATGTAACTGATACAGTTGTCTCTTATTGAATTTTATATTTCCTTTCAAGACATCACATGTTTACTTGTATCTCCTAAGAGATATGCGTAAAATAGATGACCAATAAATATCATCAGATATGTTAATTACTGAATTAAACTTGTCCTCATCATGCTCTTTTTTCCAATCTCAATGTTTCCTCATTCCCCCGTCTTTTTCTTCTACTTTCCCTGGCCGCACTATCTACACTCTCATCTCAGAAACAAGTAATCTGCCCGATTTTAGAATCTGACAGATTCTCATTTCCTGTCATAATGATTCTCAGCTCTCCTCACTACTTACCTGTCACACTAGAGCTTTTTGATCAAATATGTCCACACAATCACAGAGGGATACATAGATAATGCCCATTTTTGATTCATAGTTTTGCCAGTGACAAAGGTCATTATACTTTAAGTTCTATTCAATCTAATATGTCAAATCAGCATTAATTTATTTATTGGAATAGTTTTAAACAAGAGAACTTAACATTTTCAACATTTTTTTTAATCTAAGAACAAATGACACTGCAAAGAATGTTTTCTCTCTCTCTCTCTCTCTCTCTCTCTCAAGTAAGAAGTATTAGATGGGATTTTTCCCCCATTTTACAAACTTTCAGGGCAGATATTGGAGGGAGTAAATAACATAAAACCACAGACAGTGGGGAGCTGTGGTCAAATGTCCTGGTCTCCTGACTGAGCCCTGAGTCTTTTCTCTAGTGGAAGAAGCCTCCCTAGAGAGAAATAGGCTTCTGCAGAGGCCAACTAGGGAAACTAATTGTGAAGGGATATGGTTAGAATAATGAATTGCTATACCTAAAGCACAATTAATAAAATTAAAATGGACAAATGTGAAATTTAGGTTCCAGAAAGGAAGAGAAACAAAAATAAAAGCACACTTCACTTTAGAGAATAAATGTGCAACACCCCTCTCTTTCCATAAACCTCAATGCTCGTAAAAGAGATAATTGAATGTTTGCTCCTGGAATATATTTCAGTTCCTTAATGCTATAAAATGATCATGAGTATATTTTCATTTAAAACCCAGACACATAAAAATTACTTTCTGGAAAATTCAGATGAGTCAAACTATGATGACAATAATAGAGGGAAATTAAACATGTGCATTAAGAACAGTCAAAGGCGTGTTCAGTGGGGATCGGGAAATTAGGGCAAAGAACTCTGACTACAATCTAGCTTTTAGCTCCCAATATATTTTAGTTATTTATTGCTAAATATGTGTGTGCTCATTGGAGAGAGACGGAGGGTGGGGCGGTGAGAAATCATCCCCTGGAAGTACAGCCATGCCACAGTTCCTTCTTCTTCATTTTTCTCTTGGTATTTTGGGCATGTATACACTGAACATGGTTTGATTTTCAAGCTTCTGGGTCTGGGAATTGAACTACATGGCTGGCTCTTTAGGATCCAATGCCTTAACCTCCAACTCACTGACTGATGCTGAAACAAGCTACTTGTAAGGTGAAACACACAGGGCAAGGTGGAAGTTTTAGGCCAACCTTTTTAGTATTATATGTTTTTGAGGGTGTGTTTATGCTCAGAAAATTTGTCTTGTATGCTATAAAGGTGTAAAGTGATTAAATGTAAAAAAAAAAAATAAGTCTCGTAGTCGATTTTAGTAGCTTACCCTGAGATTTCATTATCACCAACCAAAGTTTTAATGAAGTTCATGAAACAAAATATAAATATATTAATCATACATGTGGTATATATTTTGTCACTATAACCACTCATTTATTCAACTAATATTTATTAAGTACCTACTATATACTTGTAGAAAACCAATAATAACATGCAAAAATGTGTCACTGTCACGATAAGAGCAGATAACAAATAATATATTTGCATACATGTAAGACATACATGGGGTCGACTGGTGGCTTACAAAAAGATATGTTCATATTGTCAACCTGGAACTCATGTACATGAATTTACTTGGGAAATGGATCTTTGAAATGTAATAAAGTTAAGAATATCAAGCTGGGAGCATCCTGGGTTATCCCTGTGGGCTCTAAGTCTAGTGACAAGGTCCATATTGAGTAAAGAAGGGATCACTGCAGAGGAAAGGCCATGTGAAGATGGACGTAGAGATTGCAGTCATGTTTCTGCAGGCCAGAATGCTCACACCACTAGAAGCTGAAAGACAAAGGTAAGGGTTCTTCCCCAGAGCTTTTAAAGGAAGCACAGCTTGTTTGACACTTTGATTTCTGGCCTCCAGGACTAAGAAAAACATAGTTCTATAGTTTAAAGTCATCAAGTTTGTGGTAATTTGTAATGACAGCCCTAGAAACCTAGTACCCATACCAATTAAAGAGATAGTAAATGCTATGGGGAGGCCAAAGTGGCTGGGATAGAGAGTAAAAGGCAAGCATAGCCAGAGATAAGATGAAAGAAAGCAGGAGGCTGGGTGGTTCTGGACCTTTGCAAGCCATTGGAAGAAAATCTTGGGTCTTATTCTAAGTGAGATGGGAAGCCATTGAAAGAGTTTGAACAGAGGGGTGACATGGTCTCTTTGTTGTAAACAATCATTCTAGCTGTCAGTGGAGAACAGATCTCTGATGAACACAGGAATTTCCCCAACTTAAAAGTGTGGGCATCAGCAGGAGCAAATATCTCTTCAGAGAATTGCAGACACATACCTTCCAGAGTCCCTGTAACAGGAATGTGCCAATCATAAAAATCATCATACATACCAAAGAATGTCCTCTCTATGAGAATAGCTATTTATAGTTATTTTATTTTTATTTTCAGTTAGGATGCAATTTACCAATCAGGAGTCTTTTTTTTTTTCCCAAAAAAGTATTATGGACCAATTATGTAGTTGATACATATCATCTTTCTGGTTTCCAGGTCAGTAGAGCCAAATTCATATACTAGATAGGCCAAGCTACTCAATGACCTACAAAGGGTTGTGGTATTTAAAAAACTCACTTCTTGGTTTACTTTTAGGACTTGAAATGCATTAGGAGTTGAGTTTTTTGTTGTGTTGTTGTTACTGTGTGTTTGTTTTTATCAGAAGTGATTAGCAGTTTGTTTGGGGTTTCTTGGTCAATAAATCTATAAAGTTTGGCACACTTTTTTTTTCCTTTGGTCCCATCAAATTGGGCTAGTAATAAAAACAAAACTATTGAGTTTAGAATTAGGTCTAGGAACTTCTATATGTTTTAGAAGTAAGTCTTCAATGTCACTTCCCCTATTTCTTTTTAACTACATACACTTTAGCTCCCAGTCCTGGATAACTTGGTATATTGGTCCCCTGGTAAATAACTGATACCTGCACTTGGCCCCAAGGCTGCATCCCTATGAGTAAATGTCTTTTTACAACAGGAATAAAAACTTCTGTCAGGAATAGTAAATATTTCAGGACTTCCCTGAATGGAGTTCATCTTAGCTAGCAATAGAGTTCAGCATTTTATTCTCTTCAGGCTTAAGACTACTGGAGTGGCTGACAATTTGAAATGCTGGCTAAAGACCAAAAATGATTGTTTTAGCTAAGAAACACCTATGTGCTTTTCCTTGTCTTCAGATGCTTACAGCCCCTGTTCATTTCTATCTAGTTGAATTGCAGGAAGTAGCTAACATACCCATAGTCTGAAAATTTCCTGTGATGTCTGTTTTTCTATCTTGTGCCTACGAAGCTAGGTACAGGTCTGAATCACAAGGGAGCAGAGGTTGCATTTGTTTTCTTTCTCTGTGCCTTTTCATTTTCTATCAGTACCTCCATTGGCTCAATCTATTCAGTAGCCAGGCAGCAAAGGAAGGCCAGAGATGTAGACGGTAAGATCCAGTTTCTTAGTCATTGAACAAGTCAGAGAATAGATATGCAGCTGTAGGGTGGGGCAAGACCGGTGGAAAATAAGCAGCATGGTGATATCCTTAGAAACAGCAGGCAAGGAAGGCTTAGGAAGAGCTAACAGTTTCCAAAAAGCCTAGACAATGAAAAGAAGCCAGTCATGAAAAGTTAAAATGTAGTGACAGACAGACAAGCACAGGTTTGAGGACTAGGCGACCAGTTCGAAGCTAGTTCTTGCTATGCACGTAATCTTACTATGTCTCAGTTTTCTCTCATCTATAAAACAAAGACTAGGGGGACCAGCAGTTAGCCTAATGGCTATGTCCCTGGACTCCCACGTAGTCGACCGCGGTTCGAATCCTGTACCTGCTGGCTTAAACTCACGCCAGGCGCGTGTGCGTGCGTGCCCAAGATCCTGAGACGAGAATGGAGGAGAAGGGATTGCGGCATGGCCATCCCCCCTGGGGGGCTGATTTCTCACTTTCTGTCTCTCTGTCTCTCTCTGTCTGTCTGGCGAGCACACGTGCCCTATAGCAAAAATCTCTCCAAAAAAAAAAAAGAAAAAAAGAAAAAAACAAAGACTAAAAA